ACCAAAATTAAGAAATATATCGTGATATAAATTTTTGCCATATCGTCCAGTCCTATGTGCTCCTCTGGCAAATGTTGGTTATGTTTGCTTTACATTTTCCTTTTAATGCCAATTTTGGCATCAGAGTACAAAATCATCAATCTAATTCTAATGGAACCATGAAACATGTGCCAGTTTAACGCCATTATGAGAGTGTGAGTTTGTCTAACGTCTAATGTGGCATGGCCTTACCTGACAATGCGGCCCGGGGCATCCTCAACACTGAGGAGAGATAAAAGATAATACGACATTATTTTCAAATCTATTCAACCATATACATAAAGATCTTCTAGAACTTTCTGTCTCGCGTTCATATGAAGCAGATATAAACAGGTATACGGATGTTTAATTAGATATAAGACCCACCTCTGTGCATCTGGGTCTTGAGACAAGGATAATTTAATTTCCTTAATTTCTTTGTTTCCACTGCAGAAAAAGAGGAGTCGACAGATCAAACGTGAATGAATACAGGATTTCATAACAGGTATCACACATGGCTCTGTGGAAGCAGGCAACAGCACATGACTGTCGGCGGGAACTCACACTACATGGATCCTCTGTATATTAGGACATGAGGTCATCTTTTCTACCACATAAAGAACACCATCCAGGGAGACTCCATTTTTCCCAAGGCTTAACACACAGACAAAAAAACCAAGGTATCAATACATGTGTTGTCATTTAAAAAGTAAAATGGTAAGACAAAATCAATATTACTAAACTAAATGACTACTAATACCTAATTAATTAACGTTAGCTCATATACTCACTGAACTGTGGTGAGGGATGTCATCTTAGGTAAGACGTCGGCAATCTTAGAGATCCCGTGGTTCATCAGCATGTTGTCACTGAGGCTGCAAAGACACAGCAATTAGCCCATGATCCTCCCGTTACAGAAGGCAGTGCAAAGCAACTTGGCAGCCTCACGCTGTCCTGCGTCACTCAGGCACAAGACAGCAGTATGCAAATAGCCCTGCACGCCTTCACTAATTGACAAAATGTCTCTAAACTCAAGCCAATTCAGCTACCAGCTGCCTTCCAAGCCAACATCTGACACGAATGGCTCGCGATGACCTCATCCACACATCCCATGACAGCAACAAAAACTACAGTAATAATGGTCATATTAATTACTTGAGCTCAGCAATCCCAGGGCAGTTCCCTAGAGCAATGGCCAGCTTTGAGGCTCCTGCATCAGTCAGGTTCCCACTGATGAACCTTTGGGGGGAATCATACCAGAATTTTTATTACACCAGAGAGTGTTATTTTATCCTAATCACACACTGAAACCTGAGTGGCTGGAGTAAATATATGCCAGACAAAAACACTCCCCAGTCACCCTGGCAGAGCATTAATACACAAAAATGATTACAATGAAAACAAACAAATAACATTCATCAATGCCATTCTTAATGGGGTAGATGGCATAATAAAAAATATACAGTTGTGAATTAGATGCATTTCGCTTATTTCCTGTCTTAGTCACATAGATTTTGTATTCATATGGGTTAAGATGACAGACACAGGAAATGACTCACTCAAGTCTCCTCAGGCTTGTCAGTCTCGGAAGGATTCCAGACAGCACCTCAGCAAACCTGTCTTCATATTTTCGGCTCCGAAAACTGATGAACAACAAGTTAAAACATAATTAAACACATTTAACCCCCATGAACTCATATAAACAGATCTAAACCCCTCATAACCTGAATTAAGCTCATATTTGCATTTTGTAGAGCTTAAACAGGCTGTGCATTTGTGAGCAGTTATTTTTCATTTTCAGCTGTAGGCTACTTTCAGCTACAGCCTACTTTGTTGTCAACCACAGATGCTGGGAAATTAGATTCATTTAAGCCAGCGCTGTAAGCGGCTGCTTGAAGTCCAACACAACCACAGATTCAACTGCTTAGCCTTGGTATCCCGGATGTATAACTCGTATTTTTAACCTCGTATTTTTGCATGTGAATTCGTACCATTGAATTGGAGCAACTTTGAAATGTTCTCCTAGAATTTTTGAAACTTGACTTTTATGTAATTTGTATCTTTAAACCCTGAATTTGTTTTATCGTGAATTTGAGGGCATGGAAAAATAGCAGTGAAACTGCAATTTGAAGACTGTAATTAAGAGGCAAAAAATCTGATGGCATATTCCCAATAAATATTCAATGTTAGAATTTCAGTGTCATATAAAATTCAAATTGTGATGAAACAGAGTTACTTCCATAAAGAATAGTCCAATTAAGCCACACCCATTGCTGACACAGGTGTATAATTACACACATATTCTTAACACATACTTGTTACTATGGTACACATATTCATTGGGTGCCACTCAAGTACATCATTTTCGGTTTGGAACACACAGTGAAATGATGGAATACATTTCTTGACACGAGCGGAACCTAATTCACAAACAAATATTCAACACGGAAAGCATTATGCTAAATGTGGCCGTAAATTTTGTAGGGCTAGTGCTGGTTACAGTCAATCATAAATGGAAATTTGGGAATATTTTGGGGGATTTCCCAATAAATTACACACTGGTGAGAGAGTGGTTGATAAAAGGAAGACCGTATGTCAGCTCTGTTATACTGAAGTCGGATATGGTGCTGGAAGTACATCCACCATGCAAACTCATTAGAGACAACATCATCAGAGTGTGTCTATGAACGCAGCAAGGTAAAAACATAGGGGGAGCAGATAATCTATGTCAGGGAGGACACACTGAGCAAGGAAAACCGGGAAAAAGACTGAGATAGTGTCACAGAGATATAGTTTATCTATGGCATAATACGACAAAAATAAGATAAAAGCTTTATTGTCATTGTAAGTACAATGAGATTTAGTTTGGAACACGCCAGCAGATGCACAGTATATTTACAATTAAATAGATTCTGAGGCATAAAATAGAATGGGAGAGTATGTTCAAACATGTGTGTGTGTGTATATACTGTAAGTGACTCATGTTTTGATATCCAAACAGGTCAACAGACGCATTGCTTTTCACCTACAGCTTCCTCATTATGTTTGCATTTGCAGTTTTAAGAATAGGTCATTTCAAAACAAATTCTGGAACTGTGAAATCAAAACCAAGGTTTGTACCAAACCCTGAATATTGTGGGCTGTTACACAACAGTCCTGGTTTCCCTGCCCCCTGGCAAATGTCATCATAGGAGACCGCCCTGGCTAGATTTCCCTGTCTTTCACAACCTGATATTGTCATAATGCAATCAAAGATTATTAATGTTTAGGGGGTTACAACTGACAACAACAGGTCTAGAAAGGGTTCCCGTAGTTTTGAAAAAGTTTTAGTTTTACCTTTCAGGCTGTATGTTAATTGTTGCAATGGAATTATCTCTTTTAACAGGTGGTTAAATATGTTGAACGTTGAATGATAGTTTATTCCAATACCCTTCTCCTTTATATACTTCTTCATAAGAAATAACTCCTAGCCTTCAGTTTACCATCTATATCTGGTGTCCCATTATGTATCGCCTTTCAGAGATGGTATGAACTAACTTCCAAAAGTGTTGTAGCCTTGCACATTCCTTGAAACACAGATCCCAAGTTTGTTCTAGACAGAGGACTCATTGGAAATACAGAATACACTATACTAGAGGTCGACCGATGTATCGGTTTTGCCGATTAATCGGCACCGATAGTTGATTCCCGGAACTATCGGTTATCGGCAGGGGCGGATTAACGCACAGGCTAGATATGGCTTAAGCCTAGGGGCCCCACGTGTGCCAGCCTGCAAGGGGGCCCCCATTGGCGCGGAGGGGGGTGGGGTTGGGGGGCCCACAGACTACTGTAGCCTAGGGGCCTCTGTACACCTTAATCCGCCCCTGGTTATCGGCAAAAATCCACGCCGATAGTTTTTCCGGGTTGCGTCAGAGCTGAAGCGGCTGA